TATTTTTCCTTGGATAGTTTTTGTCGTGTCTTCTCTTCATAAAATAAAAGTATTTCTATTCTATGGAGCTCTTATCGACCTCTTTTTCTGGATTTGAGCTTTTCTAAATTTTATTTTTCTAGATTTATATTTTTCTAGATTTTTTTTTTCTAAATTTTTTCCATTTCTAGAGTTTTTGTTTTCTAGATTTTTTTTTCTAAGTTTTTGCATTTCTAGATTTTTTGTTTTCTAGATTTTGCGACATTTTCGAAAATATGAATAACCCAGTTCTTCGAAGAATACGACATTTTTCGTAATATAATTATTCATATAAAATACTAAAGAATTACGTCAAGAATGTTCTTTACAAAGTGTTCTTTGACGAAATGTCCCCGGATTTTGGTCCTTAGAAAAAATGTCCTTCAGATTTTCGTCCTTGAAAAAATGTCCCTCGGACTAATTATCCTTTAGAAAAATGTCCTTTGGGAAAATGTCCTTTACCCACAATCTGATGCTTTTTTATTAATATTAGTGTAACGCCCAGGTGACGCTGAAATTCAGACACTTATTGGTATCGATTTAAGTTATTTAAGTAGAGGATATATTTATAGATGGATGGATGTACTTTAGTAGTTTAAAACTGAGAAAGAAAAGAACGGCCATTCGTCATTGTTATATTTCGACTGATTGTGTCTACACGAAGATTAAAAATAGTAAAACTAAATATTTTTAAATGCAATTGAACTTTTGTGCTGTAATTGATGAGACATCATCATCTCCATTGTCGTCATCATCTTCGTCAGTTAAAGTCACAATCAGTAAAACAACAACAAACAAACGCAAGCCGATGTTAATAGTCAATGGTTATGATTTTCAAATCAAGAGTTACAATAAAACTAAGACCATCAAATTTTGGCGATGTTCTAATCGAAATTGTGGGGTGTTGTTGCATACAAATCTTAATGATGAATTTGTACGTTTTTCTGGAAATATGACCGATCACTCACATATACCAAATCCAGCAGCATTAGAAATCCGAACGTTGAGAGAACAAATGCGGCAACGAGCTGAAAATGAATTATTACCTTTACAAGAAATAGCTGAACAGGAAGTACGAAAAGGTCTACTAACCGGTGAAGCTCTTGCAGTTTTACCAAATATTCTTAATCTCGGTATAATACTAATAATTTATAGGTAACGGTAACATTGCATTTTGTTTCTTTGAGGTCATAATTTAATACAAAATCGTCGAAAGTTGATGCCACCACTTCCACAGTCATGCTCTTTCAGCATTTCGGATGAATATAAAAACGATTATCTCAATTGTGATCGCTTGTTGTTGCATGATAGTTATGATCCACCATTTCAAATCGACGAATCATTATATACACGACCTGAAGGAAGAATTCTCGTATGGTCATCAGATGTTCAACTAAAACTCATGTTCGACAGTGAAAAACTGTATATGGATGGTACTTTCTCCACTGCTCCACCAAATTTCGATCAGGTTTATATAATTCAAGTGATACATCATGAAACATGTAAGTTATACCTATTTCATTAAATATTAAAAAATGTTTCCTCATATTATTACAATGAAATGTTGTCCATTGCAATAGGCATACCAGCAATGTACGCACTACTTCCTGATCGGAAAACAACAACGTATAGTTATCTATTTCATGTTTTATTTTTGGAAGCGAAAAGATTTGGTAAAACATTTGCTCCTACTCTAATCATGACGGAATTTGAACCTGGTGTTGCCAGAGCAATATCATTGGAGGTAGAATTTTTCTTAAAACTTGCCAATGTTTTTAATGAAATATCTGTATATTTTCTCTTATAGTTTACGGAAAAAACGACCCAAAAGGGATGTTTTTTCCATTTTTGTAAAGCTATTTATCGAAATGTGCAATCTAACGGTTTATCATCAACTTATCTGGAAGATATTAGGATACGTAGTATAATTCGACAGATGATGGCATTGGCATTAGTACCTCACGAACATGTTTCATCTTTATTTGGTCGTCTTAGTGAAGAGCTTGGTGAAGATGAACGTAGTCAGTTGGATGGCTTATTCAAGTACTTTCAAGCACAATGGATGCGGCAAATAACTATATGGAACGTTTTCAATATTTCTGAAAGAACTAATAACTTTAGTGAGGGTATGTAAAGCTACAGTAATGATTACGATTTCTCACTAGATGGTCGTATATTTTAGGATATAATCACAGATTTAAAAGACGGTTGCACAAAACTCATCCCAATATCTGGGCATTCATGGATTCGATTAGAAACGAAGTCCATACTGTCCACAATATGATATTTCAAATAAATTGTGGAATGCAACCTCGTGAAAAAAGAAATCAATCCAAAATTGTTGCACGACGGATTAAAGAATTATACGATCGGTTCAACAGCAACAAAATTACTGTTGATCAATTATTACATCAGATTTCTTTTTTTGTTGCAAATGAAAAATAAAATATGCATTTTAACTCGTTTTAGTAAAAAACACAGATGAACGTTATAAGTGATTATTTGTCATGTTTTAATAAAAGGACATTTTTATCATGGAGGACATTTTTTTCAAGGACCATATGATAAAGGACTATTTCTGAGGGACATTTTTTTTCAAGGACGAAAATCTGGAGGCCATTTTCTCTTAGGACCAAAGTCCGGGGACATTTCGTCAAAGGACATTTTCTAAAGGACATTCTTGACTATTACCGTGAGTAAAGTTTTTTCACTGATTTAAGTCTGTTGTGAGGTTGCTACTTTTTCATCTTTGTGGTTTGTTGTCTCAAAGACACATAGCTTCATAGGTTTTAATATTTACAATAATTGCTATACCTTTTCATTAAGTAAACTGATATCTACTTTTTTTTCTAGCTTATTCTTGAATATGTGTTATTGAAAGATCAAACATGTACGTTTGAAGAAGTACAAGATCGAGCACGTGCTTTACTTGATGGTTTAATTGAAAAATATTCAATTGTAGTACAAGAACAAGTAAATTTTTTTTGTTTACTTTTAACATTATATATTTTTCTTGAAGATGAGTGAAGCTGATTTTTTATGCATGAACATGCTTTGTGAGGATTTTGGTGAACATAAATTATTTTTCAAAGTAAAAGTTTCTTTTTCATAATTTATTATTTTTTTTTGCTTTTCTATCGACTTAGAATGGTTTAACTGATCCACATCCAATTATAGGAATTCTCATTATGTCGTCATCATTGAAAGAATTTGAACAAGCTTTCATGTTTGTTCGAAATTTGCCATATAAAATGCCGGTGTCAATTGGTTGTGGTGGTTTTCATAAAATATTGGGTCTTCTTCTGATTGTGTACAAGAATTTAAATGACTTACCTAGTCACAAACTACTTCGAATATTATTTGATCAATGTGGTATGAAGAAATCGTAAAGTAAAGTATTAAAATTTTTGATACGTAAAAATGTATTTTTTGTATCATCTACTACTAATTAGTAATGTTTTCTTTTTTTTTGGCTATGAACATTGATCTTTTTTTGTATCGTCATATATTTGTTTTCGTACTTTTTTATATTAAGCTAGTCTTGAAAGCGTGCATTACATTTATGAAACATTCAATTTATATTGTAGTATTATATTATATTTGAAATTTATTTTCTTTTTTATAGATAATTATGCCATCAAGTTGATGGCATCAACAATATTCGCACGATCATAAATTTTTTTAAATTTCTTTTATTCGTCTTTTCTAGATGCTTCGGTTGGTTCCAGACTTATAGTCAACAAGAACACATAATTTAAAGATTAGAAAGAGATTTTCATTACAAAAATTTTGAAAGAAAATTCTATACAGGGTGGCCCAAAAGTCATGTTACCCAAAAAAAATTAAATATCTTCCTTACGGCTTCAGCAAAGAAGCTGATTTTTTTATCAATGATAGAGGCATCCTCAGGCTTTATATCTATAAGAACAAGGTCAGGAAGAACCCATATTAAGTAGCACTAATGAACTCAACAA